TTTTTTTGAGATGGAGTCTCACTCTGTCACCCAGGCAGGAGGGCAGTGGCACAATCTCAGCTCACTACAACCTCCGCCTCCCGCGTTCTCCTGTTTCAGCCTCCCGAGTAGCTGGGATTATAGGCACACATCACTATGCCCTGCTAATTTTTGTATATTTAGTAAAGATGGGGTTTAACCATTTTGGCCAGGCTGGTCTCTAACTCCTGACCTCATGATCTGCCCACCTCGGCCTCCCAAAGTGCTGGGATTACAGGCATGTGCCACCATGTCTGGCCAGAGTATCCTTCTAATATAATCCCACTTTTCTTCTAAGCTAGTTTTGATTTTATTTTTGGTCTCTTACAAAAAGAATCTTGAATAATACAGAGTGTTACTGATTTCCTGAGCAGAATAAAAAGACAAAGAAATCACCAATTCTCCAGGATAATACTTGAGTCAAAGGCAATACTATAAAAAGCTGATGAAAACTTTCTTACAAATCTATCCTTTAAGATTTTCAAGCATGCTATAAGGTTAAATATTTTCTTTTTTCTATTTTTTTGGGACCAGGTCTCGCTCTGTCACCCAGGCTGGAGTATAGTGGCACGATCAAGGCTCACTGCATCCTCAAACTTCCAGGCTCAGGCAATCCTCCCACCTTAGCCTCCTGAGTAGTTGGGACTACAGGTGTGTGCCACCATGCCTGGCTATTTTTTGATTTTTTTTGTAGTGTCGAGCTTTTGCAAGCCCAGGATGGTCTTGAACTACTGAGCTCAAGTGATCTCCCTGTCTTGGCCTGCCAAAGTGCTAGGATTATAGGCGTGAACCACCACAAAATATACATTATATGGCCCTATATAACACATATTACATAAATAATATTTTCTAACTTTATGTCTTCTACAGAGAAATGGAAACTTCAAAGACTACTATAAAAGTCATACCCTATGTTTGTGTGACTGTCTAGGATGCAGGTTGCAAAACTGCAAAAATATTGATTTTTGAAAAACCAAAAAATTAAATGTTTCAAGTCAATTTTTAGTTTTACAAGAGTGGTAAGAGAAAAGCTCTGTATGATCTCAGTTGAAATGGTGCATGAGTTTCTACATGGCTCAGTCAGTCAGCAGCCTTCAAGCACACGACTTGTGACTTTCCTTTTCCCTAAAGACTTCAGTCTGGCCATAGACTAAGGATCTGCCAGAAAAAGGCTACACCAAGCACTACAGCAACTATGATTATCATTTTATCTGTAAAATTGTTCTGCAGCTGGCTGGGCGCAGTGGCTCACACCTGTAATCCCAGGACTTTGGGAGGCCGAGGTGGGTGGATCACCTGAGGTCAGGAGGTCAAGACCAGCCTGGCTAACATAGTAAAACCGGTTTCTACTAAAAATACAAAAAATTAGCCAGGCATGATGGCGCGCGACTGTAATCCCAGCTACCTGGAAGACTGAGACAGGAGAATTGCTTGAATCTGGGAGGCAGAGGTTGCAGTGAGCTGAGATCATGCCATTGCACTCCAGCTTGGGTGAAAAGAGCAAAACTCCATCTCAAAAAAAAAAAAAAAAAAAATTGTTCTACAGCTAAATATTGAAAAGTTTTAAGTGTTCTGCTATTGCAATCAAGGTCCCAATTTTTATCATCAATAGAAATTTGAGAGTAAATTCCAAAAACCAGTAAAGTATTTCTATATGAAGCAAGGTCACAGTGAACATTAACAGTTTTATAGAAAAAAAGAGATGACAGGAAAATAGATGACTTGAAATAAGACTATCAGCTATAACTTACCAACTACTTCATCATCTGGTTGAAAGAATGATACCTTGCTTCCAACTAAAGAGTGAAGAAAATTAGTAGTTAATATTACAAGTTTATTAAACATAATTCTTTTTTTTTTTTTGAGACGGAGTTTCACTCATGTTACCCAGGCTGGAGTGCAATGGCGCGATCTTGGCTCACCGCAACCTCCGCCTCCTGGGTTCAGGCAATTCTCCTGCCTCAGCCTCCTGAGTAGCTGGGATTACAGGCACGCACCACCATGCCCAGCTAATGTTTTTTTTTGTATTTTTAGTAGAGACGGGGTTTCACCATGTTGACCAGGATGGTCTCGATGTCTTGACCTTGTGATCCACCCGCCTCGGCCTCCCAAAGTGCTGGGATTACAGGCTTGAGCCACCGCGCCCGGCCTTAAACATAATTCTTAACTATTAAAATACATGTTTAAAATCTGTGGGTTTGTAAAACAACTGATTTTATTTTTCCTTAGAAAAAAGGCCAAAAACGTTAGTAACATTTTGATGGTCTATAAGGACTACAGGATATAGAGCACTTCAAATCTGAATTCTCTAGATATCTGGGCCATGTAATTGTTGAGATGAGGGAGAAGTATATCTCTCTTTGCCTATTTAGCTGATTTTTTTTTTTTTTTTTGAGATGGAGTTTCACTCTTGTAGCCCAGGCTGGAGTGCGGTGGCGCGATCTCAGCTCACTGCAACCTCTGCCTCCCGGGTTCAAACGATTCTCATGCCCCAGCCTCCCAAGTGACTGGGATTACAGGCATGCACCACCACGCCTGGCTAATTTCGTATTTTTAGTAGAGATGGGGTTTCACCATGTTGGCCGGGCTGGTCTTGAAGTCCTGACCTCAAGTGATCCACCTGCCTTGGTCTCCCAAAGTGCTGGGATTACAGGTGTAAGCCACTGTGCCTGGCCTCTAGCTGACTTTAAGGAAGAAGGAGCAAAGGAAGAGAGTCCATTCTATAGCTTCTATGATAATTATATTATTTTCTACTCCTGTGGCTAGCCCAATCTTTTAATTGCAGAATCTCATACAATAGGGAATTCTGAGAAGAGTGACATTAAAATTATTTTGAGTTGATAAATTCAAGTTGGTACCAAGAAATTTTCTGGAACTTTATGGAAATGATATAGTTACATTTTCTCTGCATATGTAGAGAAAAAGCCTCAACTATCAGTCAATTCACTTGAGTCATTTCATTCAAAGAGTTACAAGAAGAAAGGGGAGGAAAAAAACCCAAACATTGTTGAATGCCTCTTTGTGCTCAGCAATGTAGTATGTTTGTGCATTTAAGCTTCACAATATACCAATAAGGTAGGTATTATTATTCCTATTTAACAGACGAGGAAACAGGTGAAGCAGTGAAGTAAGATGGAAACCTGAATCTGGAAGTGGCCCCTTCGACTGGCTCTGACATCAGTATGGCCCCAGAATACATTTGTTGCCACTAGCAAGTAATTCGAAGTCTGGTATTTCCACTTCCAAGACTTCCTTTTGCAGTTTGCTTCTTCTTTGGCTCCCTCCTGTGCCATCATCCCCCAGTCCTTTTGGCTTCTGATTCACTGTACTTTTCTCTTTCCCTTCTACTGCTGATCCCTGTCCTCCTTCACTCTGACTCTTTTTTACTTGGTTTCTTTCATACTCCTCTTTTAATTGAGCCTCAAACACTGCTTTCCCAAGAGTTCTTTGTTTACATCTCTCCTCCTTTTCAATTCTCTCCCTTGGAGAACTCATTAATTCTATTATTTCAAACACAACCTACATGCCAACATTTTTCAAATATATACTCTCATCCTTGAGCTTTAACTCATTTAATTGCTCATTAGATATTGCCAGTGAGATGTCACGTAAGTACCTTGAACTCAACAAGTATAAATCTGAACTCATCATATTCCTCCAAATTGGATCACCTTCCTTTATCAAATGTTGGTACCAATTCAAGCCTGAACCAGAATTCTGTAAGCCATTCCTTGTTCTGATCTGTTTCTAATTTCCCAGTTCCAATGAATTACTAGGTCACACTGACTTTACTTCTTCAGTATGTCTTAAATCAGTCCCTCTTTTTCACCTCTGCCAACACTGTCAAGGTTATGGACTTTGCTGTCTCTTGCCTCCTGGTCCACAACCCAACGAGTCCTCTTGCCTCGCCTGTTTGCCTCACATCCACTCTTCCTTCTTATGGCTACTCTAATGATCTCCCTAAAATACAATCTGATATACAAGGTTCAACCAAAGGGCCCTTGCCTATCCTCCTGCTTCATTTTTGGAAGGTAGGAATTAGTGTTCATATCACCATTAAAGTATTTTGTCCAATACCTTTTTTTCTGCAATATTTGAAGGAGAACGTTTTTTCTTTTTTTCTTTTCCTTTTTTTTTGAGGCAGAGTCTTGCTCTGTTGTCTCAAATTCCTGGGCTCAAGTGATCCTCTTCACCTCTGCTTTCCAAACTGCTGGGATTACAGGTGTGAGCCACCACGCCCAGCCCAGGAGAATTTTCTTGACAAAATGTTTCTCTGCTACCAAGTACCATGCCCTTGACGCCTGCCCAGGCCTTTATTTTGCTCTAACAATACCAAACTCTTTGTAATTCTTATATACATCCAATTTTCACTTGCTTCTTTGTCTTTGCTCATAATATCCTCCCTCCTGGGTGTGATTCTCCACCTGCCTGCCCCTCATTATTTGGACATCTTACTCCAAGACGCCTTTCCTGTTTTTTCTGGCTGGGTTAAGCAGCTTTCTTTGGAGCTTTCATAATAATCTGCTCACGTGTGTATTTGTCTCTCCCATAGAGAGTGAACTGTTCAAAGGCAAGGACTTCATTTCACTTATATCATAAGCACTCAGCAATTGCTCCTTCAATGTAGAATGAATGAATGATCATCTAGTTATTATATTTATTTTTTTACAGTCTGCAAAAAAGGAAACAATTATCATTTAGCTATGTCAGAAGATAATATAGAGTATCAAATATATTATATGTTAAAATCACAGGTAAAACTCAAATATAGTCTAACATACCTTAAAACATTTATTCATTCACATAGAAGGGAAGGTAAGAGCAAGCACATTAATCATGAAACACCTGTTCATGAATATTAAGTACAGGCATATTTAGAAACAAACCCTATCAAATACTTGATATAAGGTTTACTGTTCTGTATGTTAGGATCATTATTTCTTCACAAAAAGACAATATTGGGCATTCTCTTCAATATATGATTACTTGTGGATTTAAATATACAACCCCTAAATATTTACTAAGCCATAATAAGCTCTTCAGGTATAAAATACCAACTAAGTCCTACTTTACTTTTCAATAAAAAAAAAAAAAGGCTCAGGCACAGTGGCTCATGCCTGTAATCCCAGCACTTTGGGAGGCCGGTGTGGGCAGATCACTTGAGGTCAGGAGTTCGAGATCGGTCTGGCCAATATGATGAAACCCCATCTCTACCAAAAAATACAATAATTAGCCAGGCGTGGTAACGAGTGTCTGTAGTCCCAGCTACTTGGGAGGCTGAGGTAGAATCGCTTCAACCTGGGAGGTGGAGGTTGCAGTGAGTGGAGATTGTGCCACTGCACTCCAGCCTGGGTGATAGAGTGAGACTCTGCCTTGAAGGAAAAAAAAAAGAAGCCAGATAAAGGCAGGTATAATGTTGTGTACCTGTAGGCCTGGGTGTCCAATCTTTTGGCTTCCCTGGGCCACATGGGCAACACATAAAATACGCTAACACTAATGACAGCTGATGAGCTAAAAAAAAAAAAAATCACATAATGTTTTAAGAAAATTTACAAATTTGTGTTGGGCTGCCTTCAAAGCTGTCCTGGGCCACATGCTGGTTGGACAAGTTTGCTGTAAACACAGCTACTGGGGAAGCTGAGGCAGTAGGATGGCTTGAGCCCAGGAGTTAAGGCTGTAACTATGATATCAGGCTAGGCAACATAGAGAGACCCTATCTTTCAAAAAAAAAATAAAAATAAAAAAGGCCTTTTGGCTCTCTGAGCAGCACCATGGCGGTTGGCAAGAACAAGCGCCTTACGAAGGTGGCAAAAAAGGAGCCAAGAAGAATGTGGTTGATCCATTTTCTAAGGAAGATTGGTATGATGTGAAAGCATCCACTATATTCAATATAAGAAATATTGGGCCGGGCGCGGTGGCTCAAGCCTGTAATCCCAGCACTTTGGGAGGCCGAGGTGGGTGGATCACGAGGTCAAGAGATCGAGACCATCCTGGTCAACATGGT